TTGTCCTCATTGTCAGGAAGTTTCTCCCTAATTCTAGGTTGCTTCTCTCCTTGATCAGTTTCCAACCATTGTTTCTCGTCCTTCCCTCTGGTGTTTTGGTGAATAACTTGGCCCCCTCTGCCTTGTGGCAGACCCTCAGATACTGGAACACTGCTATCATGTCTCCCCTATTTCTTATTTTCTTTAGACTAGCCAAACCCAAGTCCCACAGCAGTTGTTCATATGTTTTAGTCTCCAGGCCTTTGATCATCTTAGTTGCTCTTCCCTGAATTTTTTCCAAACTCTCGACATCTTTTTTGTGATATGGTAACTTGAGAGTGACTTGAATCTGACTCTCCCCGTCTCCTGTGCCTCTCCCATACCTAACCATTCAGCCATATGGGCCCAATAGGAATGATAGATAGCTACACCCCACTGCCGTATTTGGACAGGTATCCAATTGGCCAAGAAAGTCTTACGTTTGGGGCTGCAGTCCCAGGAACTGTATCATAAAGGATAGCCAGAAATATCTCACCATTTTTGTTCTAGTAAATGGATGCTTTGTGACTGGACATAATAAGCAACAATTTTGTGAACAGACTAGCTGGTTTCTCATGGCAGCCATCTTGTGAATAGGCAATAGAGCAGGCATGTCAAACTTGCGACGTTACGTGACGTCGCGCGATGTATCGGAGCTTTTTCTCCATTGCCGGCAATGGGGTGGGCGCGGTTTTGGGATGACGCGTCCGGCCTGCGGGCCGGCAGTTTGACACCCCTGCAATAGAGCTTAATTCAGTCCTGTGTGTTGCCCATTTCTGATTATTTTTCCCAGTTGAGAGACGGCGGTCAGAACTGTCCATACAGATCAAGTGTGGCAAATCTTTGGTGGCCACTTAGACAGGACTGAAAACTCCACAAGGGTTAGAGTCACACCAACAGAATTTGGAGAAGTTGAAAGTTTTCTTTGTTTTTTAACTATACTTATTTGAGGGCTTACGTTACAACTTTTATGTGTTTCTCACCTTAAAGCAGCTGGAAATTGCTGTCACATGGTTGGAGATCTTCCAAGGACTGCAAAAATGAGATCTCAGACTCCATACTGCTTGTGGCCGCTGGTTGCCCATCCATGTT